AGGTTTTAACAGGGAAGGACAACCTGAGCCTATATAGTACTCGATACTGGTCGTGCCCGTTAGCGCTTAGGACGGACCCCGTGTGTCGTATGCGCCTGCGCTCATGATGTTTAATGGTTCTGTGCTTCAGTAACTGCCGTCTTTTGCTGAAGAAAAGAGGGAGCAGATTGTCGGGCCCCGAGGGTGGGGCCCACCTTGCGGGTGGGCGTGGACAACAAGTGTTTCAGTGCTGCGCGGGGGTGCAGGGGGATTACCCAATAGCGATAGCCTTAGAGGGCGAAGCCATATACGAAATAGAATACTTTATTCTGCATGTGCTTGCTTTTCTCTTTGAAAGTCATCACATAACGGCATTGTAATACACGGTTCGGCTGCATTAAATATTACATATCTGCCGTAGTTCTCTATTTATAGAGCCCTGATTAGAAGACTTCTGGACAAACTGGAAGAAATGCCGCCAACACTGAAAACGTGACATGGATCATAAATATATCAGCAATTAAACAACATCTTCAATTTCTCTTCACACAATACGTCTCCTCGCAGTATCAATACTAATTCGGTTGACTTTTATATTTGATCCAATTGGTAGATAGGCTTTATTTACACCATAACGGTGCACAGCTGATATAAAGGGACTTCTAGTTTGTAAAGATATTACTGATTTTCTTTGAATATAAGAATGTAAATACTGAGTTGAGAGAATAGCCAGGGGATTTGGGTGATGGCAAACACATCTATGGAATCAGAATTTCAATAGCTTACCATTAAATGACAGATATACCTTTCTGTCTGTGATGTTTTACAAATCAGACATTAATGTGTAGAACTACAATATGTGAAATAATATAGCAATATCCTGTACAATTATGTGAAAACATGAATAAAACTACACATCTTCAGATGTTATACATTAGTGTCCTACACTAATAATACAACGTTATTATGGCATTGTATGCTGTGTGTTATTTGTAACATCTTCAGAAACTACCTTTCCAACTCCTCATGCAGTTGACAGTTACAGGTCATTCCGTTCGAGTCCAGTTTTGGATAGTCTGTGGTTTCATTCCATTTCAAAAGAGCTCTGCGTAACCTTGGTGCACTGCCACTCCAACATCACAGAGCTTGAGGACTAATCACGGGGTTTGTCAAGCAAAGCGGATGTTGTATTAATGATAGCTGAGGATTATGGGTAGTGTAGTGTCTTTGGCCATCCTAAACTCCGAATCGAAGGTTAAAAACACAAAAGCATTGTACACAATTTAAACCAATCAATGTTGTGTAATTAACAAGGATACACTGATGTTTTTAGTGGATGAGTACTGCAGATATATCACTGTGAAATAATTTGGCAGTGAGAGAAATACTTCCGGTTTTATTATGAAAACTTTGAGACCGGAAATACTGTTTTCATCCCGTGAGGGTTGACGCCAACTTTACATGGACGCTGTGCAGAAAGACGTAGTATATTAACATTCTCCTGACGAGACCTTAATTCATCTTCGTAATACCTCTCAAACTATTGTTACAAGCTGGCTCCGCTTGTAACAAAAGTACACAGTTCCACACAGGAGTTGCCAAAACAATCATTTATTTATCGCAACGCAGTGGTTACAACCAACAATAAAACAAACACAGGAGCGGTGTCCTGGTGCACCGAGCAGGGCAGCTGAGAGACGAGAGCCTTTTCTGCAGCCCTTTTAAATACTGGAACCAAGTGCCACAGGTGGGTCTCATCACTGCTGATTACAAGGAAACACACAGGTTACAACAGCACCACCTGGTGGACAACCACAGGGTTGTCACGCTATAGATCCTACACATCCACTGGACGTGGATTCTAAAAGTACAATATACACTTCTCGCTAGAAATCTAATCAAAAAGCATTTTAATGGCCAAACTATCCTACAATTTAGGATTTTACAGAGAGGGTTATTTGTGAATATCCGACCCTCCGGAGCGTTTGCAATCAACGGGAGCAGATGCCGCATATTGTTGTTTCTTACACGACCACTAGAGGTGCTAAACTTTAAAACGTGACTAAGTCGTAATAAGCTGCTGAATAATCAACCTATTTGGTCGTTTTTTGGAGGAGGACAGGCTGTTATTAAACCATTCTGACTGCTAGCTTTTGTGTTTCTGATTCACCTTTGCATTGCCTTAATGTATTCCTATTAGCAATTACTTTATATTCAAAGATAGTCTCAGTTCTATGATTGTTGGGGTGGTGTTCCTTGGAAACCTATACTCCCAAGAAATGAGTTCCTGAAGAAAACAAATTGCTGATTTAGAAATGAAATTGCATCAGAATGACTATATTGATGTTCAACTAAAATGGTTTGTCTCCTCTCTCAGGATATTGCTACCATGCAGTTGTGTGCCAACAAGCTGGACAAAAAAGACTTTTTTGGCAAGTCGGACCCCTTCTTGGTTTTCTACCGGAGTAACGAGGACGGAACGTGAGTCTTTCACCTATGCCTTTCAAATTATACCACCAACTGTTACACCAAGGAGATATATGTTTTATTCACGTTTTAGTACGAACATACAAATGTAATAACACACTTTGTATATAGGATTTAAAAGAAGGGCATGTGGCACCCATTACTTTAAACATTGGTTTGTGTTTTGTAGCCGTAGGTTTAGCATTTTAGCATCTTGTTTTTCTTGAATTCAGAAATGACTTGGACAAGTTGATGGAAATTACTAGGCATATATTCTGATTGACAGAACGGCATGGTAGAACGGCATGGTGCTGCATTATCTATTTTTACTGTAAATGGGACCATCATTTACAAAAATGAACATTATGCTATATCGTAGACTTGAAACAAGAGATTGCATCCATAAAATTGTCAGAACATTTTTTATCGAGATAATAAATTAAGGAAAAGGAGGGCTAACTGTCTCATAGACTTCTATACAAACAATCTTTTTTTGCGATTAGTGGGTTTGTCCCTTCCTGGCTAATAGTTAAAATGTAAGTTTAAGGCAGATCATCCGCATTGCTTTCACTTTTCAAATCTCAGGTTCTTCTTTTATGGTTGTTTTCATGGTTCTAAAGACATACACACTGTTTTTGATGTATTTAATGTTTAATATAAGACATCTGACATTGAAGCCTGACATAAGTCAAAAAAGAACATGAAAAATAGGGCAGCTTTTCAGGTTTGTGTCAAAATTGTTCTTTTTAGTTTTTAAAGACCCTTCAAACCAACATCTGAACCTACATATTTCACTTCCCTCTCCAGTTTTATGGGAAATAAATCTTGCAATAAATGTGATTCTTATTTTTTATTTCCTACGGTTAAAACCTCTTGTTCCCACGATTCATTTACAGTTTGAATTGGACTTTTCGTGTTTTAAAAGTGGGCTTAAGATTGAGATCATACCTATCATAAAGCATATAGTACTTTATTTTTCCATGAGAGTTTTCCAGAAAGCTGGAACCATAAACTTTGCAGTTTCATTACCTTCGAAGCAGTCCAAAAGTGTAATTTTCCCTAAAAATCTTTAAATTCACACGCCTAAAATAACAGTTTGCTCATCCTTTGTTATAAGATGTAATTGCATGCTACCAGCCACTATCCTTGGGTGGATACAAGTATTACTATTAAGGGACTGCTGTTCAGAGCGCAGCATCTCTGTACAGTAGATTCATTGGTACCGCTCGGTGAACGGGGTCTCTCTGGGAAGCCGGATTGAGGGTAAAGCGAGATGTTGCCAGACGTTTTGGACAAAAAAGGAAAGCAATTAAGTGCAAATAATATCTTGTGTTGCATCTGTTCTCTGTTGTTTTCCATAAAGATCAACTTTTCTTTGTATGACACCAGCCTCTGAGGCTTATCCCAACCTTTAATGTTATTACCACCTTCTGCTGCTCTTCATTTTAGAGACTTTCAGTGGAATAAAACTCAATCTGCAATTCTGTCATGCCCCACAGATATACGTAAACAGGTATCTGTAAAATGTTTGCAGTATTGCAGCGGAAGCTTAAATTAAGTTATGTGGGATTCAGGTACAATATGAGCAACAATGTTTTATGTTATTTGGCTGGCAGGTTCACCATCTGCCACAAGACGGAGGTGATCAAGAACACACTGAACCCGGTGTGGCAGCCCTTCACCATCCCGGTTCGAGCTCTCTGCAATGGCGACTTTGACAGGTCAGAAAATGTGTCCAAATAGTGAAATGTTAAAGGTCACCTATTATGCAAAATCCACTTTTTCATATATTTTATACTTATAATACATGTGTTGCTTCTGTGTAAAGACATTCTGAACGTTTCAGGAAAAAAGATTCTCTCTCTTTTTGTCCTGATCCATTTATATAAAAACCTGTCTGAAAATGAGCTGATCAGATTTTGGCCACTTTGTGATTTTTTAGCCATTAGCCAATATCCAACCAAGGTAACCCCCATTAAAGGAATGTGTTTAATCACTTTTTACATGAACAACTTGAGTTACTGTGTCCTAGCAGTCACAGTTTTTCTATGATCAAGGACTTAAGGCAGAGGCAGACTCTCATGGATGATGTCACCTGTTGCTGGGGCGGTCAGAATAATGCCAGCAGTCGGTCGTGGTGTCCCAGGGACCAGCACTGGTGTTATTGAGACTGCCTCAGTTTCCACACAGCACTGTTTTGCACATTCTAAGTGGGGTTGGACTGTCTAAGCAGCTGGTAAAGTCACTTCCTGCCTGGTACACTCTGCATGCAAAAAGCATAGATAAGTGCATACAATGCGCCTTGCTAAAATAAAGTGTACTTCTCTTTGGGTTATTTTAAAGGTTTTTGAGAATTATTATCCCTTTGGACTTTTACTTATTTCTTTATAAGATAACAAAATAAGTAATAATAATTTGGTGTTGTACAGTACGTCCCTGTTAATGTTTTATACCTCTTCCCAGTTTGAGAAAATTGGTTTAGAATCTACTTGCGCCAAGACAATTTGTATTAGCCCCAATAAAATATTTTTCTTTTTTACTTGTAAAAAAACGATGAATTTGGAGTTTCAACATCATCCTCAATTCCGTTTGAATGTCCTTGTGAGTGCCATATCTCTACAGTGCTTCTGCAACAGAACTCGTTCAGCCAATCTGAATCAGAAGTTCTGTCCTCTCTAAAAACATATTTTTGCAGATTGATGTCTCTGTACATACTGCAGTTCCTTGATCCTCCTTAGTATCGGTCTGCTATCCCCAGCAGCAGTCTGCTAGCTAAAAAAAGCAGGGCTCTGGAATGTCTGATCTGGCCAATAATAATGAACTGTTCTACTAACCCATAATAACTGCTAATATCCAATATAATTGTTAAGACAGCTGATATGATGATTGCGCTGACTGTTTTGTCAGTCGTGAGACTGACTAAATCTACCGCGATATTACATGGTTAATTAATTAATTTTTATTTTTTATATTTATTTTTTAAACCTTTATTTAACCAGGTGGTCCCATTGAGATCATTGATCTCTTTTTCAAGGGAGACCTGTCCAACATGGCAGCAAGTAGGTTACAACATGAACATAAAACAACAGATAACAGGACATTGTATTTACAGGGCTACACGTAGGCCTACATGCCTAGAAACATTGACAAGTACCAACAGTATATTTATATCAGCCCTGTCAATAAGCCTTACCTTCTTGGCAAAAACTGTATTGTTTTTTAAGTGGTGGAGAGACGATGCACAGTTATACCCACTGCTGTCACCCATGGCCAAAGCATATCTCTCTGTCCCACAGAGGTGGCGTTAGACTTTTTCGCTATCCGTCATTTTGACAGACAGGATCTTAAAAGTTCCCTCATAATCAGTGTTGGGTGTAACGCGTTACAAAAGTAACGGAGTTGTAACTCCGTTACTTTTGAATACATACTGTAACTGTTACAGTAATGTATTACTTTTTGCTGTAACGAAGTAATGTAACGCATTACTAATGAAATGTGGGTAATATACCCTTTACAATTCTCAGTAACACAGTTACAACTAATTTTAACCCGAAATTAAATGGTGTTTTGTTTTTTAAGAATTCCTCAACATCACAAGACATTACGACACCAGAGAAAAATTCTGGGTAGATTAGTAAGCCTGGCGTTTACGTAATCAGTCATTATGGGGAAAACAACCCCCGACAGGCTGATCTTGATGAGCCTGAAGGGTGGTCTTTTCCCCATAATGACCAAGCCGCTGCACATTATCCCGCTTATTACATGGCCAGATACTAAGCAAAATAACGACTATATTAATATATTGGTTTAAATTAACCAATATTAATTGAAATTATTTTATTGACTTAAAATTATCGTAATTCTTCCGCTAAGAAAAATAAAACTCTGTTCCACTGCGCACCAACGGCTGGAACTGCGACAACAATAACAACAACTTTACAGCAGCACTGGCCAACTCTGTTAACAGTTTCTGATCCACTAACAAGTCCTTAAACACTGCATAGCCCACATTGTGTTCCTGTTAGTGTTTACTTCCTGTCTGCCTTCTTCTGATGATTTATCTGACGTCCAGCGCTCCATCTTTTAACCTCTATTCCTTTCTCTTTCTTGATCCTCCTTAGCAACGGCCATTATAGTCCCTGACAGCGGTCGGTACTATACTGTATTAACAATACGTGTCACGTGTTCTGAATTGACCAATCAGAATTGAGTATTCAACTAAGCCTTGTAATAAAAGTTGTCAGTAGCCTTAAGGACCTAAACAGTTGCTGCACTAAACTACATTTTGGCATTTAAAATACCTAGCCATTATTTTGAGGTTATTTTTGGTGAAAGTAACTCAAAAGTAATATAAAAGTAGTGTAACTCATTACATTTCAGAGACAGTAATATTGTAATTTAACTTATTACTTTCAAAAGAGAGTAATAAGTAATATGTAATATATTACATTTTGGAAGTAACTTGCCCAACACTGATGACTACGAAATGAAACAACCATTTTGAACCTGGCTTTATCCAAAGTTCAGATTTTGGTTCCTGAAATGTGTTAAAAATATGCGCATATTTAATGAATGATTGGCTCATTTGCATATTCAGAAAACTTGTAATACAAGAAACAATTGCCTTATTGTAGGTAATTAACTGGAGAAATTTCTAGCTGATATCTTTAAGT